GAAGATATCGCGGTCGAAATATCAAATGATAAATTTGATATATCAAGAGAAATAACGGATGAAATATAATATAATAATATTGCAATAAAGATAACAAAAATAGAAATAAAGTTGAGAAAAGCTATTTCTGAGATCTTTATATAGCAGTTTTAATATGTAATAGATTTTTGAAAAAGAAAATTAATAAAAGTAATATTTATTAGTCTGCTAATAATAGATCTAATAATGTAGTAATATAATATTAATTATTATATTTGAATATATCTTACTGCATCTTACTATATCTTCCTATAACTTACTATATTATTCTATATTTTGCAATTCAATCCTATATCTTACTATATTTTGCTATATTTTCCTATACCTTATTATACCTTACTATTCTTTGTTATACCTTTCTATATCTTATTATATCTTGCTAAATTTGCGATATTTTATTAAAGCTTTCTAAGTCTTAATATATCTTATCAAATATCATTAGTAATTATTATTTATTATTATACTTTACCAGATATAATACAATTATATTATATATTATCTAGCTTTAATATATATTATTAAACCTTATTAATAATCACTTTTAATAATTACACCTTATAAAAGATTACTTATTGTCGGTATAGTCATCTACTGTACCGGAGTACTGGCACCGTACTAGCGAATGGCTAGGGCAAGCCTTAGCGAAAGGGCTTCAATACACATATAGTCTCCATCATGTAGAATAGTAATCGACAAGCTTTTTATTGATATCAACACTGAACACCCGTCGGACTTTCTACCATCGTAGATCTGAAAGGTGTTCCCGTTGATACCAACACTTATCTATATTCAATTATACTTAATTATATCTATATATATCAAATTATATCAATAAGTATAGATTGTATCAAGTGTACTGAAAGACGCCAAAATATTTTTGTAGAAGTATTATTAATGCTAAAATCTTTTTGTGAGAGTACTATTAATACCAAAATATTTTTGTGAAAGTATTGTTAATACCAAAATCTTTTTGCAGAAATGCTATTAGCATCAAAATAAGCAACCTATATCTAATCTGTCAAAGCTTGTGTTAACGCCAACCGGTATTATACTTACTTTTTTTTTTTTGACGGATGAATAAAGGCAAGTTTGAAATCTGTGAAAATATATTGATATTTGTTGGCCCAGGCTTAGACAATACTTTTATACAAAAAGTTATTCAATAAATAACAGGTTTTTAAAAAGTCTTTAATAAACTAATAATAAAAGTTAGCAAAACCTAGGAAATATTAAAGATCTTTTATTAATAATAACTTTTTTTAAAAGATAATTATAATAATCTTATCCTTGTCTATTTTTATTCTATTTATTGTAATGATTAAGTCCAAATATTTGGTTGAAGTTATTTCAAATTTATATTTATTAATATCAATCTGTAGATTAGTATTTATAAACTTTTTTAATTATTGTATAAACATATTCCTTGTATTCTGATTTGTCTATAAAATATATCAGAATATTATCTAGATATATTATATAATATTTATTGAATTCATCGAAGAGTATGTGATTGATATAGTGTTGAAATGATATTGATATATTGTATAAGTCGAAAAGTATTATCAAAGATTCGAAAAGGTTAAAACAAGTAATAAAAGCAGTTTTTCATTTATTACACCATAGAATCTACTCTTCAAATTCTTCTACCCTTCAAGTTCTTCTACCATAAAATCTAAATGATATAAGAATAAAAAAAACATATATGATTTTCGTAGCATAAAAGTAAATTATTGAATAATATGATTAATCCTCTACTACTCGAGTATAAAACCTCTCTTCCTCTCCCCCTCTCCCCCTCTCCCCTCTCATCTCCTCAATATCACCCCATCTATCCACCAACTTATTATCCGATATCCGATACTATCTATACCCAACGATCATTTCATCCCAATCATCCCAATCACATTAACATTAGTATCGATATCATTCATTAATCATTATCCATCGTTACTCCACACAACTCACCAGCGCACAACAACCACACAACTCACACAACTCACACAACCACTCAACCGTTAAAATCTGACTACTTGAGTACAATACTACAATAAGTAAATCTTCATTCACATTCTCATTCTCACTACTACTCCAACCTTCCTACGTCCAACCCCCCTACGACCAACGTCCATACATACATACAAACATACATACATATATGTATCAACTAATAGTATGTACTCTCCATCTCCATCTCCATCTCCATATCCATACTCAATCCACTCCACTCCACTTCCCCTTCCCCTTCCACGCACAAACAAATTCTCATCCAATCCATTAATTACCCTTACCCTTACCCTTACCATTACCCATCCACCATCCACCATCCACCCATCCATACCATCCATACCATCCATCCATCTATCCCCCTATCCATCCATCCATTCAATCATCCCTATTAAAAAGAATGCACCCAAAAAACGGAAAGGAAAGATGATACCAGATCCATCCATCCATCCATCCATCCATCCATCCATCGCTCAATGATCCTCTCGAATTCTCTTCGCGAACAAACAATGATGCAAGAAGAAATGAAGCAAAGCAAAGCCAAAAGAAATTGCAAAAAGTAAAGTTTGGGTATAGAAAGGTATCTTGTATTTCGGGTTACTTTCGCGCAAGCAAGAGTGTATTGTATGTAGCTCGAGCTCATGAAAGATCTTGTAACCACAAAACCCAAAATCAAAAAGCCATGATTACGAAAGACGCATTGCATGGTGGTGCATGCATTTGCATTAAAAGCGTCGAATTAAACAGTAGTCGAAACATGATGAAAGAAGTATCGGCGACGTGGGAACGTTGAAATGAAGTTTTTGTTGGAGAAAAAAAAGTTTCGAGCTGGAGTGAATAGCTGAGAAGTTGACATAAGACATGAGATGCGGAGACATTATTTGCTGAAGTTGAGATGTTGAAAAAGAGGGATAAACTATTTCAAGACCTATCCATCAAGTGCTGGCCCAGAGACGTCTGAAATTGCTTCTAATGACCTAGCGTGAGCAAAACGATCCAAATATCAGCCGAGATTTCACACTTCGCAAATTTCAATACCAAAGTAATAGCAATTAAAAAGCAAGCAGCAAATCCCGTAGAGGGGGGCGGGAAGTTGGTGATCGAGTATGTAGGGGAAGGGAACGGAACGGAAAAGGGAGTTTGAGGGAAATTGGATGAGAAGTAGAAGCCAGTGTAAAAGGGAGAGAATGCAATGGTATAATAGCAGAAAAACAAGTAAATAACTACCTCAAATTATCCTTCTTCAAATCCTCATTCATCTTCTCCAATTGTTCAACCGTAGTTCTAGCTTTTGCTAACTAAATTATTCCAAGAAATACGTTAGTGGATATTCGCTCATGTATATGTGAGTTTCCGGATCTGGTTGACACGGAATGGAAATATCAGGTTCCTCTGTATGCTGGGAAAGGGCCTGGGTATTGTGTAGAAAGAGAACAAGGAAAATAGAAAAGGATCGGGCAACAGAAGCACTAGAAAAAAGGCTCGCCAACCGAAGCTAACGCTGCTGATGAATTATCATGCTCACTTTCAGGTGTCACCACCGCATCTGTGCTTTCACCCGTCCCCTCGGAATCCTTACCATCGGTATCGGCAAATCCTCTAGAGAAAAGTCCTCCAAATGTTGGTGTTTTTGGTGGGGATGTAGTTGAGAGCTTGGTCTTTTGTTTTTCACCATGTTGTATTAGTTCAAGTACCTAGTACTATTATAACTACATAATATTAACGAGAATTGAATTCATACCTTTGCCTCTGCAAGTTCGGCATCCTTGACCTTGAGCTGAGATTCGGCTTCCTTTAGACGGGCATCGAGTGTTTCACAATCTTTGCTAGTCTCTTCAAGTAGCTCCGTCATAGACTCGTGCATGGTTTTGTAGTCATCCTTGCTAGTCTTCACCTTTTGTTCAAGGGTAGCTTTCTCCTTCTCAAGTTCTGCCTTGGCTGTCTCTAGCTGTGATTTGCTTGCTGTAAGCTCTTGGGTAGCCTTTACCGACTCCTGATGGGCTGATGCAAGAGCAGCTTCGTGTTGATTCTTGAGAGCTTGTAGTTCTTGACGTAAAGCATCAAGTTCAGAAGTATCTAACTTCACATTTCTCGCAGCCTCCAACTCAGCCTCAGCATTTGACTTGGCAATCTTCTCCGCAGCCAAATCTTGCTTGAGTGCTTCCAACTCATCTTGTACTGAACGTAAGGATTGTTTAGATTTAGCTATCTCATCTTGCAACTCGATCTCTACGGCCTTTTGTTTCTCAAAGTCCAATGAGGCGGAAGCATGACTAGTTTCGTGTTCTAATTTTAAGGCGGCAATAGCTTCATCGTGAGTTGATTGAGTATTCGCATGCTGTACTTTCAATGCGGCGATGTCTTCAGCATGGTTCTGAATCAATCTCTCCAACTCCGCTTCGTGAGCTTTTTGGGCACCCTTTTGGCCCTCATATTCTGTTGACGCAGTGGAAAGACTGGCTTCCTGTTCTGCCCTCAAGGCGGCAATGGCTTCATCATGAGTTGATTGAGCTGTAGCATGTTGAGCCTTTAATGTGGCGATATCTTCAGCATGATCAAGGGTCAGTTTCTCCAACTCCTGTTCGTGGGCTTTATGAGCCGCAGATGTTGCTTGGTCATGTACGTCATCCAATGCCTTTGCATGAGTCTTCTCAAACTCGGACTTGAACTCGGCAATGGCTGTAGCATGACTATACTCGAGCTGTTGCAACTCTGCAGAATGAGAAGAATGACTAGCGGAAATAGCTCGATCATGTGCTTCGTCCAATGCCTTGGCATGATTTGCCTTCAGCTCCTCCAATGCACGTTCATGAGCCAAATCATTATTATCGAAATCAACAATTGCTGCAGCGTGAGTTTGTTTTGCTTTCTCAAGTTCCTGCTGATGTGCCTCCAAAATCTCGGTATGGGCCTTGGTGAGTTCTTCATGCTTGGTCTTCAATGCATCAAAGTCATCTCTGATGCCAGAGTCTCCTGATAATGCATCAATTTCCTTTTGATAGTCGTTAGAAATGGTTTCCAACTCTTTCAAGTGCTTCTCATTGAGTGTCGAAGTTTCAATTGAGTGTTTCTCCAAAAGCCGAGAAATTTCCTTGGTCTTTTCATCTAATGACTGGACTGTTGACGCAAGCTCCGCCTTGATCTTGCTGTGTAATTCATCCTTGTTTTTTCCATCAGAACCAAGCTGCTCCAAAGTCTTTCGAAGTGCAACAACCTCCTCCCTGGCTTCTTCTAATTCTTCTCTGGCAGCCGTAAGCGCGGACTCTGATTCGGTGCCAGTGGATTGCAAGCCATCGAATTTCGCGGTCAGTTCAGCAACTTGCTCTTGAGCGGAAGCAAACCATTTGTGGGCAGTATCAGCCTCTGCCTTGGCTTCTAAGATTTCATTTTCTGACGCTGCTAATTTTATGGCTTTCTTGTCAAGGATTTCCTTAAGACTTGTGACCTCTTCCTCTAGACAAGATACCTTCTCAGCATGAGCAGATCCAAGAGACTTTTGAGCCTCGAGAACTTCGTCAAGTTGTTTTTGAACGGCAGCTAAACTCTCTTCGTGTCTCGTAGTCAATTCAGCAATCTGGATTTCGTAAGTGGAGGAAGCATTGGTGTTTCCCTTCGCAAGCTCTTCCGAATGGGCAGATTTCAGTGCGTCGAGAGCAACAGCGTGCTCCTCCGTCAAAATCTTCTTGAACTCTTCCAAGGCGTTTACATGTTCGCCAGCTTGAAGTTCAAGCTGTTTTTGAACAACGGTTAGGTTCTCCTCATGCTTAGCGGTTAACTCAGCGATCTGAGATTCGTAGGAGGAAGCATCGGTATTTCCATTTGCAAGTTCTTCTGAATGGGCGGACTTTAATGTCTCCAGAGCAGCATCGTGCTCACGCGCCAAAGTCTGCTTCAACTCCTCTAGAGCATCTGTGTGCTTGCTAGCTTCAGATTCGAAATCCGACTCCAGGGCCTTGACTCTCTCATCATGCTCGGCTTGCAAGGTCTTCAACGATTCAGTGGCTGCCGTACATTCTGCGATAGCCTTTTCGAGTTGAACCTTCAAATCTGTGATCTCAGCTTCCTTCTCGGCAGCTGCAGCAATAGCGGCGGTATTTGACTCCTTGGCAGTAGCTAATTCGGCAATGACAGCCTCTAAAGCGTTGGCTTGCTCGGTAGTATTAAGTTCCTTAGCAGCCGCTAGCTCTGCCTCAAGTTCCTTCAGGGCAGCACTTTGTTCGACCTGCAACTTTTCTAAAGCTTCAGCGTGCTCGGTAGCGCCGATAGAAGATGCAGCTTCTTTCGCCTCTTCAATAGCCGTCAGGGAAGCTTCCTGAGCTGCTGCTTTGGCAGCCTCAGCCTCTATTAATTGAGCTTGCAAACCTTCCAAAATGGCTTTATGATCGGCATTGAGTTTCTCGACAAGCTCGTTGTGGGTTGCGCGAATATTTTCCTCGGCATCTGAAATAATCTTCGACTCTTCAGCAGCTGCCTGACCAAGCTCAAGAAGTTTCTCTTGTGATGAAGTGATTTCTTTCTTTAATTCTTCAACCTTGGACTCGCTCTCTGCTAATTTCGTCTTCAGCTCCTCGACTTCCTTTGTGGATGCTGCCGCAGTCGTTGATGATGTACCACTGACTGAGCGAGTAGATGCTAACATCGATGGTTTTGCTGCTGCATTGGTCGATCCACCACCAAGGGCATTAAGGCGTTTTCTTGCTTCCGAAACTGTGCCCCCACTGCTAAGAGCATTGATCGAAGGCTTGGAGGAATGTACTGGACGAGTAGTAGTAGTACTGATTACGTATTAGTATCTAATACACCCATAAACCTGAAATCAAGCTATAATGGAACTCACCTAGAAGCAGTCGTTGGCTTGCTGATAGTTGTACCAGGAGTCTTCACAGCCTTTGGACTAGTTTGGCCGCCTGCTGCCGTCGTTGCTGCAACAGGCTTTCTTGCGGTCGTCGTAGTGGTGCTAGCGTGCATCGAGGCAGGTCTGGCCCGGGCTTCAGCCGCGGTCCCAGGAGTCTTTGAGGTGTTGGTATGGCTTGGTGCAAGAGAGACCCGTCGTGCGGAGGGAATGGTAGATTTTTTCTCATCTGCATGAGTCCCATGAGTCCCAGCGGCGGAGGGAGCTCGATGACTGGCGTTGGAAGTTGCAGTTCCTGTTGCACTGCTTGTAGGCTTTCGCACAACAGACCCAGTTGCAGGGCGGGTTGGGGGTTTGCTCAGACCTCCAGTGGTTTTGATCGCGGAAGGAACAGCTGTTTTGGTCGCAGAGGATAGAGGCCTAGTTGTAGTTGGACCTGAGACTGGACGTCTTGGTGCCGCTGATGAGCCAGCTCTTTTTGGAATGGCATTTTCCTTTTTGGCACCATTTGTAGATCCTGTTGCGGGTTTATCTGTATCGGCGCTCTTTGAAGACTCCTTCTCCGTTTCGGTATCTACTTCCGATGCCGCTCCGGCAGATTCCTCTAGTACAGCATCTGCCGTGCCCTCGACGGGAGCTTCAACGGGGGTGACAGGGGTATCCTCTAATATCTCTGTAAGGGTTTCTTCTGGCTTGGAAGCCTCTTGAGGGATAACTGGAATCTCAACGTCCGCCATATTGTCAATGTTCGAGGAAGAAAGATATTGTATAACGAAGGACTAATATTTGCGACTATAGTTGTAGAAAATTTATCTGTCAGCGATATTCATGCATGATTCCCCAACGTCCTTTTTCCCCCAGCCCAATGTTCCTAGCCTCACATGTGCATATGTACTCCACCAAACAGCGCCATATGTAACAAATAATTGATCAATTGAATGATCCAAATCTTACAGAGTAGTGCAAAACACTGAATCTGCCAAACAGATAGATATACCGAGACTTACGACGTGTTCAATCTCAGCGCAATATGGAACACACTTATCATGTATTGGCGTTCTCCAATTGCGCAAACTCCAATAATTCCAATTGATGAATACGCGACTTGTTTCGTTCGGGATTGGGCTTGGGGGTTGGGGGTTGGCTATCAAAAAACAACTGACCTGAATCTCTGGCTTATCTTTCCCTGTTTCTTTTGAATATCTCAAACAGTTAACAGGTTGAATTATGATCTGTGTTTTAAAGAGAGTAGGTATCAGAAAATGATGTGCAATGCTAAAATAAGAACAGATCAATGTAAGTTGATAAGTTTTGGAGAATAAGGAGGGAAATTGAAGGCATGGAGCTTATTGACTTATTGACTTCTAGAAGAGAGCAGAGAGCAGAGAAGCAGTTAAATTTTAGAGGGGACTTGCCCCTGCGGCCGATTACATGGACCCACCATATTTTGATGCCCCATCTCTAACGAAATTAACCCGTACCGGTACTGAATAGTGAACAGACAACCTCAAAAGATATAAAGTCGGAAATTCACTGATTATATATGAATATATGATGATTTATCTATGATATCGAATCATACATATCTAGTGTGTAAGTATCTGCATTGGATTGGGTGATGAACAGGGTGATGAACACAAGAATACTGTATTGGGTGGTTGTCAAACAACAGCCTTGAGACCCTCTAGCTAGCCATCTTAATGAAACCTTTTTTAATAACCTGCTCTAACGTTTTTGTGTTACTGACCTCAAAAGCAAGCACTCACTCTTATGAATCAATAGGGGCTTTCTTATTGACAGTTAATAAAGAACTTCATATCAAAGCTTTTTTGCCTTCACCGATCATCAATTTGGAGAGTATTTTGCAGAAAGCTCCCAACCCCTAATGGGCCGAGCAAAATAATAATTTGTATGTACAGATATGTTCCCATTTCCCCGTGTGTTGCAAGTTACTAGAGGATTGCTCCGAATGTCGAAGTCATACCAGCTTTACGAACCTAATAAATATATATGCCAGTATGTATCCCCTTTGTTGCTCCGTTGTCTCTCCGTTTCTATTTAGCAAGAATATGATCGTGCTCCAGAAAATGCAAAGCCCCTCAAAAATAGTTACTGTTCGATAAATAGTGATATTTGTTACCCATTCCATCCATATTTTAGTTGACCACATGATAGCCGTAAAGTCGTGAATTGAGAGATTCTATATGGTCCCTCTTGGTAGAATTAATGACTTTGTCGTTAGGAATGACCGAAAAGGGCCACTTGCGTTGGTGAAGATGTTGAAAGTCATGTAAGCCCCCCACTCCATTTCCATTACTTCGTCTCTTCGGTGTGAGCTTCCTTGATTGAATCAAGGTCATTGTGCAATGTCGTGGAGGCACTAAAAGTATTTGGTGCTTCCGTTTGTAATACTGTATCTCGTGCCAGTTGGGTTAACGCTCTTGGTCTTTGAATTCGTGGAATCCAGTGCTCGATTTGGCGTAACTGTATTGTCGTTTCTGCTACTGCCCAACCTATTCCTGTTAGTATGTATCTCTGGAACTTCGGATATACAAACATACCACCAACAAAAAGACCAAAATTGCGGACCAAAGATGGCGGGAGGCCATGACTTCCAAAAAAGAGGGTGAACGGGGGAAACAATATTCGAAGAGCATTGTCAACAAATGGCTCACTCATACTCATGATTCCGTTCCAAGAATTTGCGGCCTCTGCAGCTTTTCCAAGGCTCTCTCGGATACCTGTTGCAGTAAAGCTGGCTTGCTCAAGACTTTCCGAGTGATCCTGGATCAAGGTAGTCATATTTACAACCACATCGCTAAGTGCTTCGAATCTCTGCAACCAGTCAGTTCTATCTTGTGTCTTGGGCTGAGAAGCTTTACCTGATCCAAATTATCTTGTCGATCACTCATAGAAGTAATCACGGGAATCAAGAGATCCTGCAAATAATTAGTCATGTTACCTAAAACATTCCAATGTAACTCACAATTGCATAAGTCAGTCTCTCGAACGATGATTCGGCATTTTCTGCCAATGCGTTGATGTCTTCCAATCTTGATTTTGCAGTCCCGGATGTGACCACGAGAGCCTGCTCTTGCGCAGCAGCCATCTCTGCATTGCTTTGGAGTACGGTATCGATGGCATTTTTCATCACTCGTTGAATATCGCCAGTACTACCAAGAATTGATCTAAGAGCGCTCGCAATGTCCTGGGAATAGATATCAATATTCGAGTTCATGTTATGGCTATATGATAAACCCACTGATGCTTCAGATGAAATGACCTCAAATGCACCTTCAACCTTGATCTTGAGTGCATCAGCCTGCATCATAACACCTTCAAAGTAAGAATCTGCTGCTTTTGCATGATCCGCCATATTTCGCTTGAGACTGTGGAGGTCATCCTCGAGTTCCGCTGCAAATTGACTCATGATTTCCACAAGCTTTTTCTGTAGAAGAATAGATTGATCTGGTAACAGTTAGACAGGCCAATAAAGATTGGTTAATGACATACCTTTGTCGATGTCGGAACGAGCAGCTTGACAGATCAACAGACAATTGTCTCGATAACTGGTCCAACTCAACCAATGGGATGGATCTTTACCCAGTCCCTTCAAACAGGCTCCGACTTCATTCTGTGAAACTTGCAATTTTCCCTCTGCTTCCTGAGAAGCGCGGAGTAAAGCCGGAAGACGAAAAGACTCGCAAGCATCAGGAACAATCATACTACTTCGTTCCATATCACAAATTGCCAGACTTGCAGCGAGACTTTCCACATAGTGTCTCTGTACGCGTCCACTGTATAGATCATACTCTTTTTGACTGATATCTTCCAGACCTTCGCAATTACTCATCAGAAGCTGTGCAGCCACTCGATGGCAAATTGGCTCTTCCTCTAGTCTCTTGAGCTCAAGCATTGCACTCGAGTATAGTTCATTGGTTCTAGATCGAGCATTGGCTAGCTCCACTCTACTGTTCTGCTGCTGATTTCGGTCAAGATGTCGTTGGCCAGGAGTGGAGTCATCGATAACTTTGGACTTCCATCCAAAAGCAGACACTGATACTAACCATATTCCCAATAGAAGGAGTCTGAGAAGTAGCATCTTGGGAGTTTGACCGTGCTTTGAAGCTATTCAAGTCTTTTGAAATTTTAGCCAGCGACAAGTTCAGGTCGCGCCACAGAAGCAAGAAGGTTAGAAAACGATAGATCGGAGAACTTTCTGATATTTAAGACGTCGTACTTTGAGGAGACTGTAGATACACTCAATAAAAGATAGAAGATGGAGATAGGATAGTACGACGTCTTTGAGAAAGAAAAAGTAACCAGAGTTGAAAAAGATTCTTGTTGTTGAAAAATTGAAGATGGGAGGATTGAAGAGAAAAGGTGAGGACAGAAGAGATGAAGAAAACTGAAGTAGACGACGCTATCGTCTTTTTCGACGCAGATACAAATCATGAACAGATATGATAGAGGTGAATTATATGATATAGAGAAGAGGGTGAATTTGAAATGGGGTTTTTGTTCCTTCCTGAAGTGATATGTTTTTGAGATGTATGGGAAGACGTTTGGTTATCTGGTACCTTTCACCTTCAAAGTTTGAGAAAACTCATTATGTAAAACCTCAGGTACTTGATACTGGTAGAGTAGATTGGTACCATTTGATCAGATCAAGGTTGTACAATTTTTGACAATTTCCCTCTTCTCCGAATATTTACGCGTTTACTCGAAGTACACTCAAAACCAAACCTCACCTCAGAAATCACGAAAGCACGTGCGCTACGAAAACCACGCTAACCACATTTAACCCGACCTCAAATTCTATCGACAGCGACCCCAGTAGACAAACCAGCATCAATCCACCCACCATGTTGTCCACAGCACGATCCAAAGGCTTCAGCCAAATCCTTACCTCTACGGCCTCCATCTCAATCCCCTCATTCCTCCTCCCCGCCTTCCCAATCGCCTCTCGATTCTTTTCCGCATCAACATGTCGAAACTCTCACATTGGAAGTGAATCATTGACGATTCCCCCCGAAGTAAATTTCACAATTATACCAGCCCCTCCGCAGGCGAGAAACTCCGCGGTGGTGAAGAAACCGGTCGTTAACATTAAGGGGCCGTTGGGGGAAATATCCATGTCAATTGAGTCATATATTAAAATCGATCATGATGAGAATACGAGGAAGGCAGTTGTCAGTGTGGAAGATAAACTAGTAAAGAACCAAAGAGCCATGTGGGGTAAGTACTTCCTTCACCTCCCCCTATATCTCTCGCAGAATTCTCACATATCACCCATAGGAACCACTCGCGCTTACCTCCAAAATCATATCCTCGGTGTCTCTGAAGGTCACAATGCCATTCTCCGTCTCGTCGGTGTTGGATACCGTGCCACTGTTGAACCTGCTTCCAATGTAACAACCAAAACCCCCGAGTTCGAAGGCCAGCAATTTGTGGTCTTAAAAGTAGGATACTCTCATGCTATCGAATTACCTGTCCCAAGATTCGTGAAAGCGAGTACACCACAACCTACACGTATATTGTTAGAAGGGCCAGAGAAGGAAGTGGTATTACTTTTCGCCGCACAAATTAGAAAGTGGAGAGTGCCGGAACCGTATAAGGGGAAGGGAATCTTTGTTAATGGAGAGGTGATTAAGTTGAAGAATAAGAAGATTAAGTAGATGAATATAATCTATATTGGTATGATGCGAGGTTGAACATAATCTGTATTGATATGACGCACTTGTAGATGTATATGGCGTAGTGTATGAATGGAAAAAGTATCATGGCTTTCATTTTTGAAGGATATATATATATGTACAATTTACTTCTTAGCTCCCAAAACTTCCTTGACAACCTCCAAAACATGGCTATGGATGGCTGCAGGAGCTGCAACGACACCCTTATTTTCAGCCAATGTCCTACCCTTGCTGAAATCTAATCTGCGTCCAACAGAATCCGTAACTTGTCCTCCTGCCTCTCTCACAATAAGATCTCCAGCAGCATGATCCCAAATCTTCTCTTGGTAAGTCGCGCTAACAGGAAGTCTGAGATAAATGTCTCCAGCACCTCGAGCAATCGATCCATATTTGGCTTGGGAGTCCATTCGTACGCTAGCTTTACTAACGCCCAATTTGGTAGCGATGGCATGTTGATCCCCATGAGAAGAGTGACCTGCTTCAACACTTTCACAGAATGTAGCTTGAGTTAAATCTGTAACTGGCTTCATCTGAATAGATTGTCCCTTTTCTAATGCTCCAGTACCCAATGGTCGACTCGTAGCACCTTGTCCTAACACGGCTGAGAAAAGAACTCCCTTTCCTTCATCATCTGATGCATCCTTACCAGCATCAGCTGATAATGGGGCCGAATCATCAACTGGGAGATTAGGACATCCAAGAACTCCGACTTTGACATCTCCATCAACCATCAATGCTAAACAAACAGCATATTGACCACCTCTCAAGAATCCCTTGGTTCCATCAATAGGATCTAAAGCCCAAATTCTTCCCTTGGCTCCACCGGCACTATTTCCCGCATCGATAGCATCAAGCATAGCATCCACACTCTCAATTGGACCACCTAAAATCTTCTCGGCCTCTGGATCCGAAAGTTTAGAAGCTTCAACCAATGCCCAAATTTGATCTCTCAATTTGGAGTTGTCTCTCAAATCACCAGCTTCTTCTTCTCCTACAACTTCATCATTAGGGAAGTTCTTCTTGATAGCTTGTATGATCAAAGCTTGAGCACCGAAATCACCAATTGTGACGGGTGATTTGTCGTCCTTGGATAATGTTCCTTTGGATTTTTCATGAAAGACCTTTTTGGTCAAAATAGCTGCTCTTTGAACGGCTAATTGAGCCACTTCCAATTCTTTGCTGTAGTTAGACATTTTGGTATTTGAAGCTGTAAAGATGGATTTGGTATTGATGGGAGAGAGATGATGAGATATAAGAGTAATGCGAGGCCAAAACTTATTTGTAATGAAAGCCAGTATGATGATCAAGAAAGATATGAGTAGGATTCTTTTTGTTGTGAAAGAATAAGAATTGGTTGAATGATTATTTTTTCTCAAAGTCTTTGACATGAATTTATTAGAATAGAAGGGGAAATCTGGAGTGAATCGAGGGGTTATTTGATCTCTTTGTTGTCCCAATTTTCATGGTGGGGTTGATACACAAGCTCGAGGCAAGCAAGCAAGTTTAAAGCTACTGCGGTTATGGGTATGGGTTATGGGCATGGACCTGAACATCATTCAATGTGACAGGGGCAAACCTTCATCTTGTCAGCAGCAACACCCAAATATAACCGCCGTAAATAAACTTGAAGCTTTCTTCTTTATTATATTTCATCCCAAACCAAGTTCAAATCTACGATACGGCACCACGAGAGTGTCACTTTGTGTCACCATCTCAGCCGTAAAAATGAATACAACGAAAAGAAAATTCAACGCTCTTCTCAACGGCTTGGGAAGCAAAAAATCCGATTCCTCCTTATCAGCACACGAAGTAAACAAAACTCCAGAGAAACCTCAAAACGATATAGATTCTAATATGAAGAAACCACGAATTTCATATTCATCCTCAACTGTGAATCGATTATCCTCATTATCGCGCACATCATCTGCGACTCCATCCGAATTCGATCTTGCTCGCAATAAATTGGCACCCGTTCATAAACTCTCTTCAACTCCAGTTTCAAATACAGATACTCCTAAATGGGTACCTTATGATCGCGTCGAATTTCTCAAGAGATTAAAATCTTTCTCGAATCTTACGGATTGGACGCCAAAACCAGCGAGGGTTAATGAAGTGGAATGGGCAAAGAGGGGATGGGTTTGTCAAAAGAAGGAGAGGGTTCGATGTTGTTTTTGTAATGTGGAGATCTTGGTGAAGTTGAATAAAAAGGAAGAGGATGGAAAAGAGAAGGAAGTTTATATTGCGGAAAACATTGGTAGGTTTTCTGGCACATCTTTTTGCGGTGTCGTGCTAACTAATTTAGTAGAAAATGCCTTGGTTAATAAATATGTGGAACTTATTATCACTTCGCATGATGAAAGTTGTCCATGGAGGCAGAGAGGATGCGATGGTAGGTAATTTGTATGTTTTTGATGGCATAAGTATTAACTTGTTATAGATGTCATATTCAAATTACCCCTCAATAAGCCTACAGTTACCATACAAATTATTCGCGAACGATACGATGAACTTCAACAGAGAGCCGATAATTTACCATATCTCTCTAACATGACACCTCCAGAAGGTCTGGATATTGATCGCATAACAACCTACCTTCCCCAAGATTTTCTCACCCCTGAATCAGGACAAACGAACCCTCCGAAAATCAATAAAGTAGCTTTGATGATGTCTCTTTGTGGTTGGCAAGGTCATAAACACGATCGTCTAGGTCAACAACTCGAATCTGTTTCTTGTCAAACATGTTACCGAATTCTTGGTCTTTGGATGTTTAAGAGTAGATCTATTTCAGCTACAGGTGAAGAAATCGAACCAGCTATCGTCCCCGGTCTCGATCCTATTGCTCAACATCGCGAATATTGTCCATGGCGCAATCCTACATCACAAAATGGACTAGCCGCAACCCAGAATACGAAATTAAGAGCACTTGCGGGATGGGAGGTGGTTTTGAGAGTATTGAAGAGTGAATATGAATTGAGAGTAGGCAGAGAGAAGAATGAAAAGGGTTCAAGAAGAAGTTATGTTGCGCCTGTAATCAATGAGGATGGTGATGACCAAGCGCCAGATTATGCAGATGAGGAGGATGCGAAGAGTATTAGGGATGCCAAAGATAAGGATTTGATGACAAGATTGAGAAGGGTGAAGACTTTTATTGCGTTGAGGAAGCGTCCGAGTGGTGAGGTGAAGAATAAGAGGTTTAGTGCTGCTTAATTGAAGATGGGTGGATTTAAATGATAGGAGGGGAAGTGAAGGAGTAAAGTTACAATGTAGGATCGAGCAGGAAGTGGAGAAGGATAGTTATGATGTATGATCAAGAGCAGGAGAAGGAGCAGGAGCAGATAGCTCATGGATATTGCTTTCATTGCGTTGCGTTGGCGTTACAAAGGAGTTTATTTCCTAATTTCTTGCGTCAAACTCATGTCTATGGGAGTAGAGGGTATGAATATAGTTGCCGACGGTTTGTTTATTAAAGTCATTGTCATGTCAATTTACCCGAGGAAATGTAGTTGCTGGTATGACATTTTTGGTTTTTTTTCTCTTTGCTGTTGTTTGAGGGCGGGAAGTGGAGGGGAGGGAGTGGAGGGAGTGTATGGTATGGGATAATTTTTTTCGGACGATGGGTTGGCATGGGATGGATACAGATGGGATGGATACCCTGTAGGTACTAGGTAGGGAGGGAGGGCTAGCTACTTTACTTGCAATTATAAGAGTGATAATAATTATACCTAATTTATAAGATATACGATATAAGATATACGATTGTTTTACAGACTAGAGTGGAGTGGAATGATGGAATAATGGTGGAATAATGGTGGAGTGACGGAGCTCGTTTGTGTCTAGATATCTAGGTATCTTCTTACTCGGTATAGGATAGGGAAGGGAGGGTGTTTGATGGGATGGGATGGGATAGGGGGGTTGGTTATGTGGTGATGTGTTGATGGTTGTGTTTCTTTGTGATGTGGTATGTGGTATGGGGGTATTGGTATGTGGTGATGTGGTTATGGCTATATGGTGATGTGGTATTATGGTAATGTGGTGATGTGGTGATTTGTTTAAGTTGATAGGCTATGCTATGCTATAGAGCTATACTATGGACCCCTCTCTGTTTTGGGTATTGTAATTTCTATAGGGTTTATCAGGGGTTTAATCTCGCTGGTGGGCGACGGTAAATGTGCGGTAGGTGTACGGTAGGCGTGTGAGGTAGGTGTTTTGATTTATCTCATGTACTAGTATATGTGTATATACTCTCGGTAATGTCGTTTACCCCCCTCAACTACTACTAGTAAACGAAAGCTTAATTTGTTTTGATTTGACTCGGCTCTACTCAAGCCTAGTCTAGTCAACTCTAGTAATACTAATGCTAGTAAACTTATTATATATTCGAGGATAAAACAAACAATACTACATTAGTCTATCTAGTAAACCTAGTATATAAATTCCATCATCTAATCTTTCATATTATAAAACATTCTTATTTCGCACATGGTCAATGCACGACAACGAACATTTTTTTGAAAATTCATATGCAATAAATACCACATTCAATCTTCAATATTAATACACTTCTCATACTAATCGATAAAATAAAATCTGAAAAAATGATATTCAAAAATATTATTCAATATTTATGATTATCAAGTTAACAAGCCTCCGGAGGATGAGTTGCGACATAGGAATCGAGGTGCCCTGAAAACGATTCGAAAAGCGCAGCGAGGCGAATTGTTTTTCCGGCACCGAGGGGCTGAAGTCAAAGCTCGTATAATTATACTATGAATTGAGCTATTAGATTAATTTGTATATGTATATGTATATGTGTATGTATGTGTATGATATTATGTTTCTAAAACTAGACTGCTCGAGTATAATGGGTGATGAGGGATGATTGGAGTGATGTATCTATAGTAATCTAGTACTCTAGTAATTTGTTCTATACTTGTAATACTTGAGATGAGATGAGATGAGTAGATTGAAGGAAGTAGGCGAGGGAGGAAGGGGAGGAGGAGGGAAGAGGGAGGGAGGATCTAGGAACTTAAAGTTGACAGCACTTGGTTGTTGGTTGTGGGTTTATAGGTTTACAGGAATATGTGTTTTCAAGGATATAGATATAAATGGTAAATATAAATGAACATCTCCTAGAAGAGTAAAGGTTCAAGTTCCAGATCTGATACCAATAATAACTAATAGTTTACAATATATTCTTTGCATCCAACAATCCTTCACAATTCCTCTAATAATAGTAAGATCAAGAAAAACTTTTATCAAACTGGTATTTTTGGGACTTCCGATTTACTATCAAATGTTGGCATGCGATAGATATTATTGGTTTGCCAGTGTGGAAGCTAGGTTTATGGGTGTAATGAATGGTGGATGTTAAATTATGTGAGATAGAGAGAGGTTGGTTATACTGGCTTTTGTTTTTGTTATATTTAGCAGATGGTAGATGGTAGATGGTAGATGGTAGATGGTAGATGTTGATTATTGATGTTTGTTATCCTTATATGTGGTTAATGTTGTATTAGGGGGTGGGGATGGAGATGGGGTAGATGTAGATGAATAGGGTTGTAGAAGCTTAGAGTTGGATATCTAGGCTGCGCAGAAACACTCCGCTACCCGTGGGGACCCACAGATACTCCGCCCCGCGGGGGACCCGTTAATGATATTTTAGACCCGCGGGGGACCCATTAAGCTTTCAAAATTATCCGCCCCGCAAATACTCTGCAAATTTATTAATTTTTATAATATTAATATAATTAATATAAAGATTAATATAAAAACTAATATATTTTTATAATTATACTAATATTATACTAATATTATATTTGTGACGGAACAGACGGCTCTCTTCCGCCCACTGGCTCATACTACATACATAGTATGATATGACGGCTCTTTTTGACCTTCCTTTCACAGCTTAGAGCCCTAGCTCTATAGCTCTAGACCTAGGCATCTTACGCCTAGGACCCTTTCACCCTTTTTGGCCTAGCCCTTATGGCTCCCAATACCT